ACACAGGACACACTATGCACAACCTAGACAAAACTATAGGTCTTATCAACCTAGGTTTGCTAGGAGGAAACAGGAAATAGCACCTCCTGCACGTAGGAAGTTTTATGCCTACAACTATGATTACAATCCCAACAAGTTTAGAGCTGCAAGGAAGATTCCCTGCAACTTCAAACTTGATGTAGGGACACACACCATTAACTACTCCGGACCCAAACTTAATTGGGTACCAAAATCTTCCTCCTCCTAATGCAGGAAGCCACTAAGTACCCAGGTGTCTGGTACTTAGACAGTGGCTGTTCAAGACACATGACGGGTGATGCGAGCCTTTTGAGCAATCTAATTCCCTATGATGGTCCAAGAGTTACTTTTGGAGGAAGCAATGATTTCGGCCTTACTAAAGGGCTAGGAAATCTGGTGTACAAGGGACTAACCATCCAAGCTGTATCTTATGTTGAAGGACTCAATTATAACCTTCTTAGCATAAGTCAGTTTTGTGATAAAGGTTACTCTTTGGAATCTGCAAGAATATGGCATCTCTCAAGAACATCTCCACAAATGAAGTCATTCTCACTGGGAAGAGAATCAGAAACATCTATGAAGTGATATGGAGCGATGTCAAGGAAGCATGTCTAATCAGCAAAGGTGACACTAACCTTCTATGGCTTTGGCATAAGAGGTTGAGTCATCTCAACTTCAAAACCCTCAACAAACTGTCCAAAGAAGAGTTAGTAGAAGGTCTTTCCAAAGCTGCATTCAGAAAGGAAAGTATTTGTGATGCTTGTCAAAAAGGAAAGCAAGTCAAGTCCACCTTCAAGGCAAAATCGGCACCCTCAACTACAAGGATATTAAGTCTTATTCACATGGACTTATTTGGCCCTGTTACACCAATAAGTCTAAGTGGAAAGAAATATGTCCTGGTGGTAGTTGATGACTACTCAAGATACACGTGGACAATCTACCTCAACCGCAAGAAGGAGACTCAAGGGAAACTCACCAACTGCATGAAGCTGATTCAAAACCAAGCAAGTCAGACCATTCAGAAGATTAGATCTGACAAAGGCACAGAATTCCTGAATGAAATCATCATTCACTACTGTGAAGAAAACGGAATTCTTCATCAAACATCAGCAGCAAGGACACCTCAACAGAATGGTGTAGCTGAAAGAAGGAACAGAACCCTGAAGGAAGCAGTGAGAATCATGCTAGCAGAAGCTTCCTTACCAAAGAGGTTCTGGGCTGAAGCTGTTAACACAGCCTGCTATACTCAAAATAGGAGTATGATTTATAAAAGGCACAACAAAACTCCCTATGAACTGTGGAACAGGAGAAAGCCTAATATATCATATTTCCATGTCTTTGGGAGCAAGTGCTTTGTGTTAAACAACGGGAAGAATCATCTGAACACTTTTGATGAAAAATCAGATGAAGCCATCTTCCTTGGATACTCTATGATGAGCAAGGCATTCAGAGTTTTCAACAAAAGAACCATGATGACGGAAGAGTCAATACATGTTATTTTTGATGAAAAACATGTGGTTGACAAGCCGTCAAAGCATGACCATGAGGTTCTGGATCTATCAGACAAGGATGAAGAAGTCAATGAAGGAGATAGAATGAAGCCCACGGAGTTCATTCCATTCAGAAGTCTGCCTCTGAAAACTTCACAGAGAAATCCGGATTTAGACAGTGCTGAGCCCTCCGGAAATTTTGGCCAACCTTCCAATATTCCGGATCTCTCAAACGGCGATAATTCCGGAAATGGCGACCCAGTGCAAATCCATCCGGAAACACCAACAACTTCTGTTCTTCAACCAGAAGCTGAACTAAATCAACCAGTCAATCCCAATCAACACAATCTTCGTTGGTTAAGGAATCATCCTCCTCAACAGATCATCGGAGATATTCAATCTGGTGTTCGCACAAGGAGTGCCCAACAGAATCTAGAAGCTATGCTTGCCTGTTTCATCTCACAAGTAGAACCAAAGAATATTGAAGAAGTTATAGCTGATTCTGATTGGATCAATGCAATGCAAGAAGAACTCAACCAGTTTTCCAAAAATGATGTCTGGAAACTTGTTCCCAGACCTACTCATCAACATGTCATTGGGACAAAGTGGGTCTTCCGGAACAAGATGGATGAAAACGGCGTTGTTGTCAGAAACAAGGCCCGGTTAGTTGCAAAAGGATATTGTCAAGAAGAAGGTATAGATTTTGATGAAACCTTCGCTCCAGTTGCTAGACTTGAAGCTATAAGGCTGTTTCTAGCCTTTGCTGCTCATAAGGACTTCAAGGTCTATCAAATGGACGTCAAAAGCGCATTTCTCAACGGAAACCTAGAGGAAGAAGTGTATGT